GTTTTTAATTTTGTTGTTTAGCCCCTCATGCTATAATCATGTGTATTTTCTCCATTCCTGTTCATGTGTCTTCTCGCAATTATCACTGGCCCCGTGTATCTCGTAATCGATATAACCGGCCTGCTCTCGTCTATCCCACGTGCTCCACTGAGATCCAACATCTAGTTTCAGGTGGCCTGTGGAACTGCCAGTCAGCTGTTCCTAAGGCTGACTTCATCTCTGGCTACACCTCCCTGCAGTCTCTGGATTTCCTTGCTCTCACTGAGACCTGGATTACTCCATCCAACACATCCACCCCAGCAGCTCTCTCCACTGCATATTCCTTCTCCCATACACCCAGACCCACTGGCAGAGGAGGTGGCACTGGTCTCCTGCTCTCTCCCAAATGGAGCTTTTCCCTCTTCAAGCTACCTAACTTTACTCCTTCCACCTTTGAGTTCCATGCCGTCACAGTAACCCATCCTATACAGTTAACCATTGTTGTTCTCTACCGTCCACCAGGCGCCTTGGGGGACTTCTTGGAGGAATTAGATCATCTCCTCTCACACATCCCTGAAACTGGCCCTCCCGCTGTACTTCTCGGAGACTTCAACCTCCAGATGGGGAAGATAGACGAACTAACATCTCTGTTAACCGCCTTTGCTTTCTCACTCTCTCCGTCCCCACCGACTCATAAAGCTGGCAATGTCCTTGATCTCATATTCTCAAGGAACTGCGCTACTTCTAACCTCTCTGTAAACCCGCTCCACACATCCGATCACTTCTTCATTTCATTCTCTCTATCCCTTTCCAAACATAACAAACTAATCTCTTCCCATCCTACACTTGTCCGCCGTAACCTTCGCTCCCTCTCTCCCTCTACCTTTGCCTCGTCGGTGCTCTCAGCCCTCCCTTCCTCTGATTCGTTCCAACTACTGCCTCCAAACTCTGCTGCAGAAATTCTCCTCTCTACTCTCTCATCCTCTCTGGACTCGCTCTGTCCTCTGACATCTCGGCAGGCTCGTCAGTCCCCTCCGGCTCCCTGGCTAAATGATGCACTGCGGGCTAATAGAACCGTCCTTAGGGCAGCAGAGCGGAAATGGTGGAAATCCAAACACCGTGACGACCTCCTAACCTATCAAGCTCTCCTCTCCTCTTTCTCTGCTTCGATCTCTCAGGCAAAAAGCACTTTCTTTCAAGATAAGATCCAATCTTCCTATTCCAATCCTAAAAAAACTATTTTCCATCTTCTCCACCCTCTTGGACCCTCCAAAAGCTCCTCCCCCCTCCTCACTTCTGTCAAGCGACTTTGTTACCCACTTTGAAAAAAAGGTTAATGATATTCGCTCTTCTTTTTCTGACTCACCTTTACTCACCGCTGGGTCACCAGACCTTCCTTCCACCAACACACTAACCTCCTTTTCCCCTCTCTCTCCAAGTGAGGTTCTTACCCTCATTACCTCTGCCCGCCCTACCACCTGTCCTCTGGACCCTATCCCTTCAAACCTCCTTCAGACTATCGCTCCTGATATTCTACCGTTTCTCACCCATTTCATCAACACTTCTCTAACTTCTGGTCACTTTCCAAACAGTCTCAAGGAGGCAAGAGTAAACCCTCTCCTAAAGAAACCCACTCTCAACCCGTCTGATGTTATAAACTACAGGCCTGTCTCTCTCCTCCCGTTCCTGTCTAAATCACTTGAACGCGCTGTCTTTAAACAACTCTCCTGTTATCTCAATCAGAACAACCTTCTGGATCCGCACCAGTCTGGTTTCAAGGCAGGTCACTCCACAGAAACTGCTCTCATTGCTGTCACGGAGGAACTGCACACTGCCAAAACTGCATCCCTCTCCTCTGTCATCATCCTGTTGGACCTGTCTGCTGCATTCGACACGGTGAATCATCAGATCCTCCTTCGCACTCTCCAAAAACTTGGAGTTTCAGGCTCTGCACTTTCCCTCCTCACCTCATACCTGAAAGACCGTACCTACAGGGTGACTTGGAGAGGGTCTGAGTCCGACCCTTGTCAATTAACTACGGGGGTCCCTCAGGGCTCTGTTCTTGGTCCCCTCCTCTTCTCCTTGTACACAAACTCGCTCGGATCAGTCATTAGCCCGCATGGTTTTTCTTACCACTGCTACGCTGACGACACCCAATTAATTCTGTCCTTTCCCCGCTCAGAGACCCAGGTCGTCGCACGCATCTCTGCTTGTCTAGCTGACATCTCTCAGTGGATGTCTGCTCACCACCTCAAGCTCAACCTTGACAAGACTGAGCTGCTCTTCCTCCCGGGAAAAGATTGTCCAACTCTTGACCTGACAATCAACATCGGCACCTCAGTTGTTTCCCCGACTCAGACTGCAAGGAATCTGGGTGTGACCCTAGATAACAACCTGTCCTTCACTGCAAACATCGCTGCTACAACCCGCTGCTGCAGATACACGCTTTACAACATCAGGAAGATACGTCCCCAGCTGACTCAGAAAGCGACTCAGGTTCTGGTCCAGGCTCTCGTCATCTCACGCCTAGACTACTGCAACTCCCTCCTGGCTGGTCTACCTGCATGTGCCATCCGACCTCTGCAGCTCATCCAGAATGCAGCGGCTCGTCTGGTTTTCAACCTTCCTAAATTCTCTCACACCACTCCGCTCCTCCGCTCCCTTCACTGGCTTCCGGTAACTGCTAGAATCCACTTCAAGACACTGGTACTTGCTTACCGTGCTGCGAATGGATCTGGCCCTTCCTACATCCAGGACATGGTTAAACCGTACACCCCAGCGCGTGCACTACGCTCTGCATCAGCCAAACGACTCGTTGCGCCCTCGCTGCGAGGGGGACCCAAGTTCCCATCGGCGAAAACACGTGGGTTTGCTATCCTGGCTCCAAGATGGTGGAATGAGCTCCCCATTGACATCAGGACGGCAGATAGCTTGCACATCTTCCGGCGCAAACTGAAAACTCATCTCTTTCGACTCCACTTCGAGCGTTAGAACGATTAACGAAGCACTTTTATACTAATAAAGGACTGGATTACCTAAAGCCAGTTGAGTAGCACTTGAAATGTTTAGCTCTATGAAACCTGATGTACTTATATGATTCTGTTTTCTTCAAGGTTGTGTCTTCCTGGTCGAATGTACTTATTGTAAGTCGCTTTGGACAAAAGCGTCAGCTAAATGCAATGTAATGTAATGTAATGTACTGCAGCTTCTCCAGCGGTTGGAGCTAAACGGAGCTGTCTCGTGTGGACAGACACTATCCGGATGACTATTGTGTGTGGACGGAAGCTTTTTTGCGATTGCGTTTGCGTTAATCCTATGCATTTAGCCGTTTTCATCCTCGTGTGGCCGGGGCATCAGATTCGCAAATCCTGACTCACTGTGCAAAACACAGCAGACTCGTGCGGACTCAGAGCCGTAACCGTATAGCAGCAGATCCAGAGATCCAGCAGACTCGTCCTCATGCACGAGTCAACAGCAGACTCAGATTCGCCAAATAACCCTTTTTTTTTGTCATCAACATTTTTTATTAAAGCAAAAGACACTGTGTAGCACAGGTTAATATAACGTCAGTTTAATGCTCGTGAAATGCAACAAGTTTTCGGTTTCACCGGTAGGATTTCTACGCTCTTGGTGATGCTGACTCATATGACTCAAATGACTCGTATGATCCGGATCTCTTCAATGACTGACTCAGAAGACCAGGGGCCCAGTCCAATAGTCCATTTAGCTTAGGAACCTTCCTAACCAAGTGAAATGACCCGGAAGTACGTCAGTGGCAGCCATGATAAGTGCCGTTCCAATTCTCCAAATGAAAGGAAAGGAGGTTTCAAACTTCCTTTATAACCTCCTTTAGCTTAGGAACCACTGGACCTCCCTTACCGAAAGGAGAGGAGAAAATGCTGCCCCCACAATGCATTGAAGCCGCAGCATTTGACGTCACACAACAGTCGGCCGTTCACGGACACAAACGATAATGGGAGAAATGATATCATGAAAGTTACGGTGCTTATTACGCATTTTAAAACGTATGTGGTAAGTTGCCAAAGTGCTTTGTTTTGAACGTTCATCAGTATTATAATCAAAAAGAGAAATATGAACGTTAGTTTTGACTGAAATGATCAAATAAAGTCAACATTTCACTGAGCTGTGTGGAGTTTGTTCAACTTTTAAAAGATGTTTGAATGGTGATATACACAGTGATAGGTGTTAAGGACTAACTTTTATAATAAATACATTTGTATTTATTTTAAGATATTTTAATAGTTCATACAATCATACGTATTGGGATCATTTGTATAAATGTGGACCGGAGGGAGAGGGTGACGAGCATAAGTTTCACTTTCCTTTTTTATTTCAATTCCAACTTTGGTCATGAAGAATATGTTTCTCTGTTGTCCACGTTCATAAAGCATAAAGCAACAGCATCAGAGCACGGTGCAGAGTCTCTAGATGAGTTTACAGTAGTCCCTCGTTCTTATTAAACATCCATGTTGTAGTCCTCTGTATAGAAAACTGTAGTTTCCATAGTTTCCCCACAGCAGCAGACGCACACAAGGACATCCGCTGGCGCATCATAAACACGTCGGATAGTGAAAGTGCATTCGGATTCTCTAAAGTACCGCGGTCTCTTCTCCTAAATCCTTTTGAATTATCCTATCCACTATCCCTTAACCCCGTGACGTTTCACTCAGAGGTCAAGGAATAGGAGATAGGGTTAGAATTTAGGAGCTACTTTTTGGATTATCGGAACGCAACCCCTGAGTCCGTAAAAGGATCCGGATTTGCCATCTCTACTAGTTTCCTAAAGAGGAGGGGCACTTTATAAAGTTGCACAGATACAGGAAATGGACTCAGTGTGCCATCTCTTTCTATACTGTCTTAAGTGCCATTATGGACACCCGTGTCATTCATAATAACACTAATCAAAAACACCAGAAAGTTCATTTAAAAGAATACTTTCAAACAAGTTAGATTCATTTTACTTTGTTCGTGATAATCATTAGGGCACAGTATGCACTTACCCACTGGGACAAATGGATTCTCCTTTGCCTTTCGCATGAACTTGGATTCATTCTCTTCATAATCAGACATCTTGACTAAGTAGCAGAAGAAAAAAGGAAAATGATATACACATTTGACTTAGAGGTTTTAGCATTCCAGCTAATTCAGTACAGGATCCAATGCATCCATTGTTAGATTCATATAAACTGCGCTGTAAAACTTTATTAGAGTCTGGGGTAAGCTTCATGATGTAGCCTACATATTAACAACCCACGCTTGTTTTTGACTCAATGTTCCGATAGATCTAATGTCCATTTAACATGAACTGCTAAAGGTTAAACATGAAGGGCAGATAGTCAATAAACGACCTTTCTTGCTATTAGTATTAGTATTCTCTGCATATTGTAAGATAGGCCATGTATAAACGGTTATGTTATGCTAAGTAATACTGTTTTACATGTTGAGCAAAGTCAACATAAAATAAACATTGGAGGAATACAGATAGAGGACTTACACAATGGAGGACTTACGTTACTGTTTTAACACCAGAGAAAACATCCATTAGACTACGCCACAGTTGGCAAAACAATGTCTTACCTGTTAACGGGGTGTGTCGTCAAATGTATCGCCTGAAAACAAAATGTCCCTAAAATGTTTAGCAGTCTTCAGAGCTTCAGATCGCACGTAGTGTAGAGGAAGAGGCGAGCCGTCAACGTGATGTAACTACCGTACTGCGTAGGTCTGACGTCAGCGGTGACACGCTAGTGTAACGTTCAAATCACAAGACAAAATGGTAAAACATAGAAAATCCCTTAAATTAAGTTTCGTATAAAATGTGTGTAGGTCCAGGCATTATTTAAGTCAAAGTTAAACTTAATACAATATGATATCCCCTCTGGCTGCATAGCATATGTTCAATATTAGTATTATCTGATTATGCTCAGGCTACAGAGACTGATGGTGGTAGTGAATCTGATGTGTAACGAATGCAGCATCACTTGTACAACACACTCAGAAAATCAAAGATCGTGAAACAAATGTTGGGTACTACTTCCTGTCCGATCGGCGTGTATCGCAGCTGTACTTCACTTTTTCAATGTTAAATATCACACCCACACGTTCACGTTTGTTTGCGCCTCTGTAAAATCCCTTCTTACGTGCGTCTCTGCCTGTTGTTTAAACGAAGGTGGAGGTAGATGGGGTTGAATACTCTTGTTTTAGTGTGGATCTTTGGGATGATGTAACAGAATGTTCAAATCGTTCTAGTACTAATGGCTGCACCGTGCACGTTTCTGAAACGTGCTGGTTCCTGTATGCGATTTAGGACATAACAATAGAGATGACATTACTAATAATAATAATATTTATGTTCCACATTTTTTGTTTTACGAGACACTTCACAATTACTTTAAAGGTCACCTATTATGCAAAATCCACTTGTTCCTGTCTTTTATACATAACAAAATATTTGCTCACTTTTTGTCCTGATCCATTTATATAAAAACCTGACTGAAAAATTAGCTGATCAGATTTTGGCCACTTTATAATGTCATAACGATTTGTTGGCTTGTGTAACCATTAGCCAACCAAGGTCACACAACCTTGTCACCTGAATCTCCTCCTAGAGCACCATTGTGTTTGTTAACCAAATATCTCGCAGAGGGGAGTGGCTCCTTATTTTCATCCAAGTAAAAGACAGAATCAGCACTTTTGAAACAGGGCTGAAACAGAGGGGTTTATGGGTGCTACAATGCACGATCTGTTTGGTATTTCGAGGCCAAACACTTCAGAGACATGTTAGGTAATATATCTGAGACCTATAATAAAGTAATGAAAAACAGTATAGGGGACCTTTAACTGATACAAATCGAGAATCCTCTGATTTTTTTCTTGAAATTATCAAATGTTGCCGGCCAAGTTATATACTAGGAACTATTTATTGGAAAACCGGTATTTCCTTTTTTATAGAGCTGCAGAATAAATATTAATATCTTCCCGGAAGAAACTTGAAACGTTTCTGCAGAGCGTCTGCAGTGTGTCCTTTCTTGAAAAGGACATTCAGAACAGCTTTGAAGCCCTAATGAGCCTGGAGTAGTTCCTTTATACAATTATGGACTATCGGGTCCCACTGATCATGAACAAAGCCTTGATGTGTAGATTAAAGTAGACAGATAAAGTAGGAGTGGTGCAAACAACCAATATCTTCCAGACAACCTTCTGAGCACCCTGTTGTTTAGTGAAATGTAGTGCCATATCTCAGTGTAGCCTACTTCTTACTGATCCAACACATATGTCTTAGCTGATCTGGGGAAGTAATATTGAAAATTACCAATTAATATGTTTACTCTAGCTTTTCACTTTGCCTTGTACCCAGACAAGGAAATATAACTTAAATTCAAAGAACTGTCTAAAGCAAGCTGCATCAGTCAATAGGAACAAGCCTGAATGTATTTTTTGTCATGTCAGTCACCAACATGACAGGCAAAACACTTTAAAAAAATGACATACTTTTATATTTAAAAGGCTAACCTATCATTGTAGCTGCACAATACCCACTCAAAAAAACGTCATAAAGGCATGAATAAAGAAACAACTTATTGTCCATACCATAAAAAGTATTGCATGCACTTTGTTTGAAAAAGTGGTGGGATCAATTTTTTCCAGATTTGACATCAGCATAGCAGAAGACAAAATATGTCCCTCCCCCAGGTGATGAACCTCCAGCACCTGCAGGAAAAACCAATGCATAGACCTCTGGACCACATATGTGTTTTTAAAACAATGATCTGCAACTAAAGGTTTTGCTGTGATGTGATTTGAGTGAATGTGTACCTTTATGCACATAACGAGCTCACAGGTATGGAGGACAGAACAAAAAAATACAAGAATAAATAAATGTGGAAGTAAATACAGGAATAAATAAATACATGTCGAAATAAAAATGGACATAAATAAAAATATATAAGTTATATATATTTAATGTTTTTCTACATTTCTTTTCACTTACATGTATTTATTTCCGTATGCCAATGAGTTAGGCGGTCCTAACCTCAGTCTAGCAGGGGTGTCAAACTCAATTTCATCGCGGGCCACATCAGCATTATGGCTGCTCTCAAAGGGCCGGTTGTAACTGTAAGACTATATACAAATACATATATAAATATATATATAAAATAATGTATTATATTACATTATTGCCTCTGCATTGGATTATTATCAGATAGGGTAATAACTTCATAATTAACTACGTCTGAAAGCAGAAGTCTAGGGCAAATAATTGCAAGTCTCTTCAGTGAGAATGTTACAAAAATGATTTTAAAAGAAAAGCCAAATTCTGGAAAAAAGAAGTGACATTTAAAAAAAAAGAAGTGCCATTTTTTTTTAAATAAGTGAATTTTGAAAGAAAAGTCAAATTCTGAGAAAAAAGGCATATTCTAAGAAAAAAGGCAAATTCTAAGAAAAAAGTCAAATTCTAAGAAAAAAGGCATATTTTGAAGAAAAAAAGTCAAATTATGTGAAAAAAGTCACATTTGAGATGCATTGTGGGACATGTAGTTTATTGGCAACGTGCTTCTGTAAATCATAATTTAACCGTATAATGAACATATAACATTCTTTGCAAGCTCTTGTGGGGCCACATACAAATGAAGCCATGGGCCAGATTTGGCCCCCAGGCCTTGAGTTTGACACCCCTGGTTCAAGCATGTTCAAAGAAGAAAAAAAAAACTTCACACATCTCCTAATACTTCCCCTGAAGGTTGTTGTAACGTCTGTTTAAGGTAAGGCTTTTGAATCAAGGATTTTTTTTACATTACTTTATTTGTTTTGTTTTAGTAAAACATTTTTTTTCATATTAAATATCTTTATAAGTGAGTTTTTATCATTGTATTATCTATTATATTATTATTTTATTTATTCCATTTTCGTTTTTTTAAATTGTATTATTTAAATTATTATAATTATAATTAAAACATTTTCACGTCCCCCGAAGGTGTCTCCCTACTGTTATTATTTTTTGAATTATTATTTTATTGTTTTTGTGGGTTTGAATCTCCAGCCTGGTAGGACATTTTGGGCTGTAAATCGAAAACATTTTTAAAACATGTATACAAGACAGCCTATAACAGAGTATAACAACAAAATGTATCTTTACATCTGTGTCTTCTCTATACATCCGTGCTTTGCATGGTTGAGTTTGTAATAGTCACTTTGAGTAGAGGAGTACACTCTGGTACAGACTGTAATGCTCTCAGCCCTCCCTTCCTCGGACTCGTTCCAACTACTACCTCCAAACTCTGCTGCAGAAACTCTCCTCTCTACTCTCTCATCCTCTCTGGACTCTCTCTGTCCTCTCACATCTCGGCAGGCTCGTCAGTCCCCTCCTGCTCCCTGGCTAAATGATGCACTGCGTGCTAATAGAACCATCCTTCGGGCAGCAGAGCGGAAATGGTGGAAATCCAAACACCGTGACGACCTCCTAACCTATCAGGCTCTCCTCTCCTCTTTCTCTGCTTCGATCTCTCAGGCAAAAAGCACTTTCTTTCAAGATAAGATCCAATCTTCCTATTCCAATCCCAAAAAACTATTTTCCATCTTCTCCTCCCTCCTGGACCCTCCCAAAGCCCCTTCCCCCTCCTCCCTTCTGTCAAGCGACTTTGTTAACCACTTTGAAAAAAAGGTTGATGATATTCGCTCTTCTTTTTCTGACTCACCTCTACTCACCAGACCCTACTTTCACCCACACACTGACCTCCTTTTCCCCTCTCTCTCCAAGTGAGGTTCTTACCCTCATTACCTCTGCCCGCCCTACCACCTGTCCTCTGGACCCTATCCCTTCAAACCTCCTTCAGACTATCGCTCCTGATATTCTACCGTTTCTCACCCATTTCATCAACACTTCTCTAACTTCTGGTCACTTTCCAAACAGTCTCAAGGAGGCAAGAGTAAACCCTCTCCTAAAGAAACCCACTCTCAACCCGTCTGATGTTATAAACTACAGGCCTGTCTCTCTCCTCCCGTTCCTGTCTAAAACACTTGAACGCGCTGTCTTTAAACAACTCTCCTGCTATCTCCATCAGAACAACCTTCTGGATCCGCACCAGTCTGGTTTCAAGGCAGGTCACTCCACAGAAACTGCCCTCCTTGCTGTCACTGAGGAACTGCACACTGCTAAAGCAGCCTCCCTCTCCTCTGTCATCATCCTTTTGGACCTGTATGCTGCATTCGACACGGTGAATCATCAGATCCTCCTTCGCACTCTCCAAGAACTTAGAGTTTCAGGCTCTGCACTTTCCCTCCTCACCTCATACCTCAAAGACCGCACCTACAGGGTTACTTGGAGAGGGTCCGAGTCCGACCCTTGTCAATTAACTATGGGTCCCTCAGGGCTCTGTTCTTGGTCCCCTCCTCTTCTCCTTGTACACAAACTCGCTCGGATCAGTAATTAGCCCGCATGGTTTTTCATACCACTGCTACGCTGACGACACCCAATTAATTCTGTCCTTCCCCCGCTCAGAGACCCAGGTCGTCGCACGCATCTCTGCTTGTCTAGCTGACATCTCTCAGTGGATGTCTGACATCACCTCAAGCTCAACCTTGACAAGACTGAACTGCTTTTCCTTCCGGGAAAAGATTGTCCCACTCTTGACCTAACAATCAACATTGGCACCTCTGTTGTTTCCCCGACTCAGACTGCAAGGAATCTGGGTGTGACCCTAGAAAACAACCTGTCCTTCACTGCAAACATCGCTGCTACAATCCGCTGCTGCAGATACACGCTTTACAACATCAGGAGGATGCGCCCCCAGCTGACCCAGAAAGCCACGCAGGTTCTGGTCCAGGCTCTCGTCATCTCACGCCTAGACTACTGCAACTCCCTCCTGGCTGGTCTACCTGCATGTGCCATCCGACCTCTGCAGCTCATCCAGAATGCAGCTGCTCGCCTGGTCTTCAACCTTCCTAAATTCTCTCACACCACGCCGCTCCTCCGCTGCCTTCACTGGCTTCCGATAACTGCTAGAATCCACTTCAAGACACTGGTACTTGCGTACCATGCTGCGAATGAATCTGGCCCTTCCTACATCCAGGACATGGTTAAACCGTACACCCCAGCACGTGCACTCCGCTCTGCATCAACCAAACGGCTCGCTGCACCCTCGCTGCGAAGGGGACCCAAGTTCCCATCAGCAAAAACACGTGGGTTTGCTATCCTGGCTCCAAAATGGTGGAATGAGCTCCCCATTGACATCAGGACAGCAGATAGCTTACACACCTTCCGGCGCAGACTGAAAACTCATCTCTTTCGACTCAACTTCGAGCGATATAACTATTAACAAAGCACTTATATATACTAATAAAGGGCTGGCTTATCTAAAGCCAGTTGAGTAGCACTTGAAATGTTTTTGCTCTATGAAGCCTGATGTACTTATATGATTCTGTTTTCTTCAAGTTTGTATTTTGTTGGTCGAACGCACTTATTGTAAATCGCTTTGGATAAAAGCGTCAGCTAAATGCAATGTAATGTAATGTAATGTAATGGTCATAAGTCAGGGGCGCTGAATGAACAAAGTGTTGGGTTATTCAGAGCAGCTCAAATGTTTTTGCATGATGTTGCAGTTGCTCTTAATCATTAAATGTTTAGATGTTTTCCCCTAACTCCAGTTACTTATTACTGGGTTTATTTTTTAGCACAGTGAAAATACAATGTCCTAAACGGCATGAAAATATAATTTTCTGCCATTGAGTATATGGGAATATATATATTTCTCTTAAAGGAGCTCAGCACTGTATTTAAAGATAAGTTTACTTTTTAAAGATAAAGTTAGAAGTACCTAAAGAGATTCATTTTTGTGGGATGATAAACACTTCACAGTCACACTGTGATTTTGTTACAAAGACTGCTGTACCCATAGTGCCACCTTGTGGTTACAAAATGGTATTAAAAGATAGAGGGGCAAGTTGGCAATGGAGAGCCTATCTGGATCCTTTCTCTTTGCCAAAAACAAGACAGAAAAAAATATAATTGTTAATAGGAATGTTTTTGTTACATGTGCTAACAAAAAGTGTAATTATAATTTTCTTGTGAGTACTTTTTTGTGTAGCTAAATATAGTGTTTCATCAAACACATTACAGGATATTCAAAAATGTTGACACGTTGGACTGTTATGTTGCCTGTTTGAGGACATATTTGTAACATACCAATGATCTATTTATGTTTCATTCAGACCATGTGCTTGGTTGGTTTTTATGACCAGTTAAGTGTTTCCTGCTTAAAAGGAAAAGCATTGAGATTGCAGTTTGTGGAAAAGGGAGGAGCAAAAGTCAGTATATCATGAACGATGTTAACCTTGCCTTTCACTCCCTGTTTGTCTTTCAGAGAAATCAGTCATGGGGCTGCTGCTGCCGATTCTTCTTGCCTTTCTTGCTGCTCTGCTAGGAGGGCTGTACCTTCTCGGGGTTTTTCGACAACGGAGACCAGGAGAACCCCCTTTGGATAAGGGGCTCATGCCTTGGCTGGGTCATGTCTTAGAGTTTCGCAAGAACACATTGAAGTTCCTGGAGAGGATGACGCAAAAGCATGGCGATGTGTTCACAGTACAGCTGGGAGGGTGTTATATTACATTCCTTCAGGACCCTCTTTCGTTTGGGTCGCTTGTTAAGGAGAGCAGAGAAAAACTGGACTTCAGTAAATTTGCTGTTCAATTGGTATACAGAGTGTTTGGTTACAAAGCTGTAGAGAATGGACACCAAATTCTCCATATGGCCAGCAACAAGCACCTCAAGGGGGATGGTCTGGAAGTAATGACACAAGCCATGATGAGTAATTTGCAGAACCTAATGTTGCACAACATAGGCACATCTGCAGACGAAGGAACCTGGATAGATGAGGGGTTGTTTAATTACAGCTATAATATTGTCTTCAGGGCCGGCTACTTATCTCTATTTGGTAATGAGCCACACAACACAGAGGGAAATGAGAGTAAAGTCAAAGAGAAAGACCGAGTTGATTCACAAGCCTTATTTTACAAGTTTCGTAAATATGACCAACTCTTTCCCAACCTGGCCTACGGGATTCTGCTGCCAATGCAAAGGTTGGAAGTCGAGAGGCTAATGGGATTTTTCTTGGACAGTGTATCAGTGCAGAAGATAAAGTCAAGGGACAATGTGAGTCGTTGGTTGTGGGACATCCAGCAGGCCACAGAGGAGCTTGGTTCAGAGGAGACAATGAGAAGCAGATACATGTTTGTGCTTCTTTGGGCCTCTCAGGGCAACACAGGGCCTTCTGCATTCTGGCTGCTCTTTTTCCTCATGAAACACCCAGAAGCCATGGCAGCAGTGAAGGAAGAAGTAGATACACTTCTGAAGGAATTTGGGCAAGAAGTCCAACCTGGTGGGCCTTTAGTAAACCTGACCCGTGAAATGCTGATGAAAACACCAGTCCTGGACAGTGCTGTAGAAGAGACCCTCCGACTCACTACTGCACCTGTCCTCACCAGAGCAGTACTTCAGGATATGACCCTCAAGATGGCTGATGGGCGTGAGTACTTCCTACGAAAGGGGGACAGAATGGCAGTCTTTCCTTACAGTGCCGTTCACATTGACCCAGAGATCCACCCTGACCCACATGCATTCCAATATAACCGCTTTCTCAATCCAGACGGGACCAAGAAAACTGATTTCTACAAAGCAGGAAAGAAGGTGAAGTACTACAACATGCCCTGGGGTGCGGGGGTCTCCATGTGTCCTGGGCGTTTCTTTGCTACCAATGAGCTGAAACAGTTTGTTTTCCTCATGTTGGTTTATTTTGAGTTTGAGCTGAAGAAACCCGATGAGATGATACCTGGAATCGACTTCAAGCGATGGGGCTTTGGATCAATGCAACCCGACAGAGATGTTGAGTTTCGATACAGACTCAGATATTAAACGAAGCAATGGTTAAAATCTTTCTGATTAAATGTTACCTGATTTTAGACATCACTGTCTGTAAGTACTTTGAAAATTGTGATTCTAGTATTAAGGGCTATTTGTGTTTTCATACTATACCAATTTTGAATTGTATTAGATGTCTGTACAGGGGCGAGTAAAAAAAAGAAGAAAGAGCCGGTGTTATCTAGCTGTTGTTGTAGGTCATGAACTCGATTGGAACGTCATTCTGTTTGTAGATATAGAAGGTCAAGGTTGGGTTTTATTCTGGAAAGTTCCGACCTCAAATAACGCATGTAATCCATCCAAATAACAAAAGGTCACATTGATGATTAATGTGACTGGCGTAGAAATATATTGATACACAAAAACACATGTATTTACAAAATCTGAATTTTGACCAATTTGAACTATTTTTAGAGTTCGAATAGAATTACTAACAAAGCACTTATATACTAATAAAGGACTGGCTTATCTAAAGCCAGTTGAGTAGCACTTGAAATGTGTTGGCTCTATGAAACCTGATGTACTTATATGATTCTGTTTTCTTCAAGTTTGTATTTTGTTGGTCGAACACACTTATTGTAAGTCGCTTTGGATAAAAGCGTCAGCTAAATGCAATGTAATAGTAATAGTTCATATGTGTCACCTGTAAATGTAATTATATGCCTGCTTCTTTTATGCAATTTAGGTTTCATATCTTACATTTCTCTTCCTAATTGAAAACTGAAGGAGTTTACCAATATTCTTAATATAATTATACTATTTTTCCAAGTTGGTGGTGGAGGATGTGGATTATTGTGTTGATTGTTGAACCACAGAAATAATACAATGTTCCAAACTGTATAGAATATAATGGTATGCCATTCAGTAATAAGACTGGGAATAGATATATTTCTGTAATTGCTGTGCTGCAATCCAACATATTATATCTTGCTGTTGTAATACAAAACAATGATTAAAATACTTGTTCCACTATGAGTTGGGAAAAAGTGACAACATAACTTTTACAACTAACAAATAATAACATTGTATTTACTATAATAATAATACACTTCAAATTGAACACTAAATGTTTTACAAAGATCGCTTATTTGATGAACCCACAATGGTGGAACGCACTATGGTTTTCGAAATGTATGGTTTTCTTAAAATAATAAAAATATCATCACTAATAGAGTATTTTATTTATAATTGTTATTTTGTATCGTTCTTGTTTACAGCAAAGAGAAAGGGTCCAGATAGCCTCTCCATTGCCCAATCCTCCCTTCTATTTACAAGACCATAACACAGGGTTCTAAATTAGTTCCTCTTTCAAGGCAATATTAAATCAATGCATGCAAGCCAAGCCAAAGGACCAAATCTCTGGGTAGTTAGCAAATAGGTACAAGGCCTATGTTAGAAATCTTTATCCTTCTTTATCCTTATGGAACTCAGGTGTGCTAGTGAAGATATGAAAGGAGGAAGGAGAAGTTTGGGGTCTGAAGTTGAGAGCCCTTGCTGCTAGTAGTAGTAGTAGTAGTAGTGGTAGTACAGTAGTAGTAGACTAGTAGTAGTAGTATTAGGAGTAGTAGTATTAGGTTTCCTTTTTTATTTATAGGATATGAGAAAACATGGCATGTATAACCAGAATAATTAAATGTTTGGAGGAAGACAAATTGCTTAGGCCACATTTTCAATTTCACATTTACATTCACTTACATATTGCTTTTGAACCATAAGGAGAGGTTTGCAGTTTTGTTTTTTCTACGGGATGAGAGAATTACATGCGAAAGTTGTTTTCACAACTAAATTAAATTTAAAAAGGGCCCAAAACTGACATTCTGGAGAAAGATGATTATCACCCTACATTCCAACTTTGATAAACAGCTGCTTTGATGTGGAAGGCCCACACAGAAACAAACATGCATACATCTGGTACTAATGCTTTCCACATGTCTCTTTATCATTTCAAGGAATTGATAACACAAGGGCTCAGGAATAGACTGTTGGATAAGCCTGCCGGAAATACCATCTTTTGTAAAACTATAATAATTGCCAAACTTATAATATTACCTGACAGCATTAGTTAAGGTTGGCTGATGCTAACATTAGCTTAGCATTGTTGGCTTAAGAGTTGATATTTGTGTTTGTCAGCTGAATGAGCCAGTTTTGCATACTTTATGATATATTTGTTTTATTTTCAGTCAAAGTAAATGAAAGAATCAAAATTGCAGTGAGGTCAAAGATACATATATGACCTGGCAACCAAACATAGGCCTATAGCTATTTTTAGCATCAGACAACGTTATATAGCATTAGCCAGCCATCATATTACTTACATAACAAACTGTTTGCTGCATGTCTCCTCTGGCAAAATAGTTAATTGTAACATCAACACTGCAAGGCATAGATTCCTTGTAACAACTTTAGCTCTTAAGTGAGCTACTTGCTAACTAAACTATCCTTCAACATTTTGGACACATGCTGCACCACTTTGTTTGGATTATTTTAGGGATTTTCACAGATGTATCTGGGCTGATTTGATTGTTTCAATGAAAATCCAATAATTTCGACCACTTTGACCCAACCTGATCTCACCAGAATGCGTGACTCCACCACGACTCCTTAACACCGCATTGCGTGGTGGAGTCACGCATTTTGCTACATTTGCGTGTCGGCACGTCATAATCATTTTTATTTTTCGTCAGAATGTAAAAATTACATTAGTTACGAATTTTTGTTCTCAAAAAACAGTGCATTGTGTGTAATACAACTGTGATTTTTATTAAATTAGTTAGTTTTTAAGGAAGGCCAGAGCTTTAAACTTTAACATAAAAGAAGCAGCTTGTACCTTGTCACCTTGAGCAGTCACACTGTATGTACACTTGTATGTCTGCAAAGCAATAGCGTATTTTTTTAAATCTTTAAACTTTAGGAGATGCCCATTATAACTGTGCTTTTCAGTATGATGAAATGACAAACATCAGATGTAGCTAAATAAAAGTCCAAATAGAAACCTGGCAGTGTACTGATTAATGTAATCTCTGCAAACTCAAGGAATTATTTGTATTAAAGTTAAACATTACCAACAGAATGCTCTGCATCTGCTCTGGTGAAATCCAGGTGCTGAGATACTGGATTTAAACCTCAACCTTTAAACATATAATGAAGATAAGCAAGGCATACCAATATATCTTATCAGCATGAAACCATATAGGCTATAGCTGCTGATCATCATGTCACTAAACCTTCACCTCAAATTGCTCCTGTGAGGATTGGCCACAGTATTGAGTATTGGATAAAAGCGTCTAACAAGTAACATGTAATGGTAATTCATGTGTGTTGAAATGTTTTAAGCATTGTGGTAGGTTCTGATGGACAGTATCCTTATGTAATGTAGTCTGGTCAAAGCAACCTGATCTCACCAGAATGCGTGACTCCACCACGACTCCTTAACACCGCATTGCGTGGTGGAGTCACGCATTCTGCTACATTTACGTGTCGGCACCACGCAAAAAACCCCAATGTAAAGTGAATGAGGCTCTTTTGTCGTGGTGCACACACGCATTTCTACAACGTCCCGCAGTGAGCTTTTATTCTATAAAACGTTTTTTAAATCTACTTTATAGCTTGTAGTAACTCACGGGAGGCTTCTTTTATTTTATTTGTATTCATAATCATTTTTCGTCAGAATGTAAAAATTACATTAGTTACGAATTTTTGTTCTAAAAAAACAGTGCATTGTGTGTAATACAACTGTGATTTTTATTAAATTAGTTAGTTTTTAAGGAAGGCCAGAGCTTCAGCTGTGTCAAATAGATTGTTCCCTTTAGTTAACGCTATTTAAAAGATAATGATCATGTCCCCTTTATTGTATTACGAGCGTCCATTCCCATTGGATAACGGAGAATTTTACACCCGGAAGTAAGTATTCTCCTTACTGTCGATTGATTTTACAGTGATATCTGCACTACTCATCAACTCAAAAACACCAAATTATCCTTGTTAATTACACAACATTGATTGGTTTAAATTGTGTACAATGCTTTTGTATTTTTCCCCTTCGATTCGGAGAAACGAATATTTTTTCAGAGTTTTTGGATGGCAGAAGACACTACACTACCCAGAATCCTCAGCTATCGTTTGGGACTACACCATGTGCTTAGCTTGACAAACCCCGTGATCAGTCCTCAAGCTCTGTGATTGGATGTTGGAGTGGCAGTGCGCGAAGTTTACACGGAGCGTCAAAAAGCACCTTGAAATGGAATGAAACCCATCGACGGCACACTATTCAAAACAAGAATCGAACGTGTCCTATCCCCCCCCCTCTTAGGTCGCAGGCTCCTCCAACAGTGCAACACAATAAAACAGATACACAGAAAAAATAGTGAAATAGTGCAATAAGAGTCTATATACAGATTGGAATCTTTTTTATTTTTTATTTAACCTTTATTTAACCAGATAAAAGCATTGAGATACAATCTCATTTTCAATGCTGACCTGGCCAAGAAGTTAGCAACGTTACACATAACACATAACACACACATATAAAAGAGAACATAACTAAGAAAACAAAAGACAAAAAAGCAGTCACTACATTGTGAATATGATATATTAGATAAATAATTTCTAAGTAGCAGCCAGATGAATGTTATGGATGTTGTTTCTAATTTCAGGTGTTTCATAGTCTTATGGCCTGTGGGATGAAGCTGTCCCTGAGTCTGGTGGTTTTAGTCCGGATGCTGCGGTACCGCCTGCCAGACGGCAGCAGACAGAACAGTTTGTGGCTGGGGTGATGGGGGTCTTTTATAATCCTGAGGGCTTTCTTTAAGGTTAACGTGGTGTTTTTACTCCACTACATTTATTTTAGTTACTTTACAGATTTGGATTAATGATGTGAAATATAAACAACCCTTAAATCAGACTTTAGTTACACCTGAGTAAAATTCAGTGAAGGTGATTGTCAAGTGTCAACAATCAGGAGAGATATTTGATAGTTGGTGCTTGAGAAGACTAAACATTTATCTGCAGATCCGTATAAAGCATATTCATTACTCGTTATTCTCTAATCGTTCATTAAAGACTGTATATAATTGATATTTTGCACATCCCTTTCAAGATTTCAAGATTTTCAAAGGTTTATTGACATATCATATACACAACTACGGTGTAGTTATGCAATGAATGAAAAACTTGGATCACAGGTTCCTCAACAGTGCATTACAAGACATCTATCAATATGTGTGTACCTCCACCATTAAACTGTCATATTCTGCACATGTATTATTCTATCTAACATCTTATAAGAGTATAATAAAGATGTATAATATCGGTTAAAATAAGTGCTTCAACATAGTTAACATTGCAGGAAAGTTGATTGTCAAGTTCCAAAACAAACCATACAATATATTAGACGTTAAGTACTTTGTCAGGCTTAATATGTATCTGTAGATAGATACCCCCAAAGCTGTTTTCTTATTTAAAAGAAGACCTTAGCCTAAAGTATTCTTTAATGTTTAAATAAAGCCTTATTAGTTTGTCTGTTTTGCACATCCTCCTATCAGGCACTAAACTGTTTTGTTGTAGATATTATTTACAGTATCTTCTTGATATTTTCTATTCTATATTTATATCATTGACCTTCTACTTTCCCACTATTTTGTATGTATTCTTAATATTTAAATGTGTTCATCAAACACATTCAAAAGTACTTTACAAAAATGAAAGACATTAAGAAAAAGGCATTTTAAACAGTCATTAAAAAGCAACATAATCTACCTGCATTGCAATTACTCTAAACGTGTAATAACGTGCTTTAACCAGTAGGTGGTTTGGGTTAAAAAGCTGTCAAGTTTACAGTGTTAACAAAATAAAATATACTGCTGTTTCTGGTTTAGTTGACAACGGATATATCTTGTTATTGTTTTGATATTTGTAACATAAAAGCGATGGAAAAACCCAACAGCAACACAGAAAATATGGTCTTAACATGACCCAGCGGTCTAGTAGTTAATAAAAAACAATAATCCATCCATCCATCCATCTTCTCCCGCTTATCCGTGGTCGGGTCGCGGGGGTAGCAGTTCCAGCAGAGAGCCCCAAACTTTCTTTTCCCTGGCGACATCAACCAGCTCTGACTGGGGGATCCCAAGGCGCTCCCAGGCCAGCGAAGAGATATAATCCCTCCACCTGGTCCTAGG